GAAGATTAAAACTGCTGAATTTCTAATAAGTATTATTATTATTATTATTATTATTATTATTATTATTGTGGTACCAGGGATTGAACTCAGGACCCTGCACTTGCCAGGCAGGCGCTTGCTTATTCTACTGAGCTATTGCCCCAGCCCTCTAATAAGTATTGAAGAAAGAATTAAATGAGAGAAAAATATAATTCCAAACAAGCATCTTTATTCAAATGACTGGAGGAAGGGAAATAAGCGGAGGAGACAAGGAAGGCAGACACGTGGAGGCACCTAGATGGCATGATGATATTTGTAGCTTTGATTTTACATTTTAATCACCCGCAAGACTTTCAAAACTAATGACGGGAGCAGCAGGGTCTTCCTTTGTCTCCCAGGTTGTCCTCAGGTGATCCTCCTTCCCTAGCCTCTAGAGCTGGGACTGTCCGTGCACATAGCCACACCTGCTTCTCTAGGGAGTCTAATCTAATGCTTGTACCAGGACCCAGTGCTCACTGTTTTCCTTAAAATCTTCCTAGGTGGATACAACATACAGCTCAAGGTAAAGATACTCTGCATGTGTGTACATGGCTGGAAGGAGCCGATCACATGGGAATGGGTATCAGGCGTGGGGAAGGGGACAAGAGAAGAGTGCCAGCCTAACATTTCCCTGTTTGCTCTTGTAATGCTAGCCTTATCTTTAGAGAGAGAGAGAGAGAGAGAGAGAGAGAGAGAGAGAGAGAGAGAGATCCTGAAAAATACTGAGGCAAAATGTGTAAGTGGTTGTTAAGGATAACAGATTTTGAGCTGAGAGTGATGGCACATGCCTGTGATCCCAGCACTCTGGGAGGCTGAGGCAGGAGGATCACAAATTTGAGGTCTCCCCTGGGCAATTTAGCACCTTAGCAATATCCTATCTCAGAAAAAAAAATTAATTAGTTCTTTTCCTCCCTGGCTGAGGATCCGTTGCCATCATGAATGACACAGTAACCAACCAAACCCAGAAGTTTATGACCAACCGACTTCTTCAAAGGAAACAAATGGTCACTGATATCCTTCACCCTGGGAAAGCAACAGTACCTAAGACAGGAATTCAGGAAAAACTCACCAAAATGTACAAGACCACACCAGATGTCATTTTTGTGTTTGGATTCAGAACCCACTTTGGTGATGGCAAGACGACTGGCTTTGGCATGATTTATGATTCCCTGGATTATGCGAAGAAAAATGAGCCCAAACATAGACTTTGCAAGACACGGCCTGTATGAGAAGAAAAAGACCTCAAGAAAACAGCTGAAGGAATGCAAGAACAGAATGAAGAAAGTCAAGGGCACTGCAAAGGCTAGCGTTGGTGCAGGCAAGAAGCCGAAGGAGTAGAGATTCTGCAGTGCCTGTCTGCAGTGACTGCGACTTTTTTCACAAGAGGATTTACTAAACTGTAAAACATTAAAAAAAAAAAAAAAAATTAAAGGCTGGAGATATGGCTCAGCATGAAGGCGCAGGGTGCAGTCCCCAGTACTACATACACAAAATCAGCTTTTGAAGTTGGAGTTGAGATTAAATTCAAACTATCATTTACTAGCTTGGTTACTTCAGGTAAATCACTAACACTACTGAGTGTCTGTGTTCCCAAGTTGTAGAAAAAGGAAAATTAAAGTCCTTTTCCTTTTTTTTTTTTTTTTTTGTTTAATATATATATTCAAGATCAAATCCAGGACTTTCATACTGAACTACATTTCCAGACCTTTTAAAATTCTTCTTTTCTAGGCAGGGTCTCACTAAGTTACCCAGGCTGGTATTCAACTAGTGATCCTTCTGTTTCAGAACTTGTGATCCTTTCAGTTTTCTAGAGCGATGGGATTACAAGTGTGTACAGCTCCTGGCTACTGTCATCTTTATGAGAATTCAGTGTGTAAGGTGTCTAGCAAATACATGGTGAGTACTCTTTATCTGAAATGCTTGGGACCAGAAATACTTCCGGTTTTGAAATGTTGGTATTTGTCTAATGAGACAGCCTTGGAAAATACCCAAGTCTAAGCATGAAATTAACTTATGCTTCATACGTACTCTGTACCTATGACCTGCAAGTAACTTACCTGTTTCTACTGAGCCTGCCTTTGGACTACAGCCTGTCCCATGAAAGCATGTGTGGAATTCCCAGCAGTGAAAACACTTCAGATTTTGGAGCACTTTGGATTTTCAGATTAAAAATGCATTTATCAAATGGTGTTCTTATTCTTATTGTTGTCTTGTATAAAACAGTCTCAGGCCTGCAAGAAGATAGAAAAGTCCTTTTTTGGTTACAGTGGCTGATCTGTGGCTTGTGGTAGTAAACTGACTCAAACTGACAGCCAGCCCAATTGCTTGGGAGATTAAGGAGTAAGAAGGTGGAGGAAGATAGAAGCAGCAAGCCGCGTACTTCTGAAGTGTAGCATCGCAAGCAAAGAGACAAGGAGCGCACCGTCCAGAGGGGATAAGGGGCCATGTGGGAGGGTTCTCAAGAGAACACAGATCCTTGCAAGTATTCAAAGTTGGAAAGTAGGACTAGTGCATCAGAAGACAAAAGATACAGTGATGAATGAAGAGACAAAATCCAGATGGACATGGAAGCCACGAGATTGAGGAGACAGTGAAGGGACTTACTTCCGCAAAGAAGAGGGTATGCAGAGAATCCAAAAGATCTAATCCAAATAGATACTTCAAGCTGGAAAGAAGAGATTCTGTAGTTCATGCCTGTGGCCTTCATTTCCATGTATTTATTTGATTTTCTTTCCCATGTATTTATTTATGAAACATCAGTTATATTCCAGATACCATCCTGGTCTCTAGAAACACAACAGCATGCAAAACCAATTGTCCTAGCCAGGTGTGGTGGCACATACCTGGAATCCCAGCACTTGGGAGACTGAGGTAGAGGCCAGCCTGGACTGCGTAGTGAGACCCTGTCTCAAAAAAACAGAAAATGGGGGCTGGGGAGAGAGCTCAGTAGAATAAGTGCCTGCCTGGCAAGCGCAAGGTCCTGAGTTCAATCCCCAGTACCGCAAAAAAAAAGAAAAGAAAGTTGTACTTTCATGAATTTTTGGTTTTTCTTTATAGCATGTATTATCACCTGACTACATATCTGTTTATTTTGGAAGGTCTCTGTGGTTGTGCTGTCCTTGTGGCATCGGAGAAGGCCAGTGCTCACTAGAGTAGCAGGCACAGGGTCGATGCTAGTGGATACTCAGCAGACTCACGCAGTTAAATCCTACCCACTGTGTGCCCCACACTGAGTCCCCTGTAACTCAGCTAGTCCTTATAAGTAGCAAGGATAGTGCTGCAGAGAAATGAGGACATGGGCTCTGAGAGACGAAAGGCTGTGTGTGTCCTGTCACAGAGGGGCTTGGCTTTGTGTAGTGCTGAGAACAGAATCCTCATGGAGCTTTTGATGTCGGTATAGAGAAGAATTTTATGCATTGTTGGATGATGTGGTAGATTTCCAGCTGGTGGTCAACTCGTTACACCAAGCTGAACTGAGCCAGTGTGGTGCTGGGTGTGGGGACCCACCTGAGGGTTGCTGCCGGCAGCCTTTGAGGCAGAGCTGGAAAAGGTGTTAGAGAAGCTGTTTGTGGAAGCACTTGGAGCTGTTGGAAGCTGCTGCTTCCCTTGGGCTACTCTGCTGGAGGACTTGTCATGCTAGTTTTCCTGATGAACTTGGCTATTGTCACTGGAAGAGCTCAGGACCTTGTCACTGAGAATGGCTAGGGTTCATTTTGGGGGAGCTCTGGTCCTCGCTGTGAGCATTCCTTCTGGCTCTGGAGAAGATGGTGCGCTGCTCAGCCTCATGGAGAAGCTTGTCGCGTTGGCTTTCCTGATGAGGACTCAGCTTTCCTCATCGCTGGAGAACCTTGGGACCTCACTGTTGCTGAGGATGGCTGGGTACTTTTGCGGGGAGCTCTGGTTCTTTCCTTGAGCATTGCTCCCTGGCTCCAGTTCCTGGCCCTCAGCCTGCTAGTGCAGATCCTTCATCCTGCTGGCGTAGACTTTCCACTGACCTTTGGGTCCTCCTAGCACAGGTCCGTAAAACAGGCCTGCATAAGACGTTGTCATGGGCTCTAGGCTTCCAATTGGACTTCTGAGAGGCTTTGTTATGGGCTCTAGGTCTTCAGATGGACTCAGGCAGGACATTAGAATCCAGGCCCTCAGCTGGATTCCTTGGTCTCTAGTGTGTGGACAGATTTCCTGCACTCTTGTATGAGTCTTTGGGTGATTATAAAATAATCTTATAAAATGTGTCCTGCACTGTATTGTTCCGCCTAAAAAGAACCCAAACCATGACAGACACTAGAGATATGCCTAAGAGATACAACACATGCCTACCATGCTCAAGGCCCTGGTTTTACTACTTAGCAAAATAATAATAATAATGAAATAATGATAATAATAAAGATTCCTGCAGTTCTTATGAGAAAGCCAGGGATATAGCTCAGCAGCACAGTGTCTGCTTGGCAAGCACAAGGTTTTGAGT